TGCGCCACCAACGCCCGGCTTAAAGGTTTTAATAGATTAAAAAGAAGGCGGGAAAATATATATCTTGGCATGGATAGCATCTTAATCTCATCCTAAGTGTTTTCAAGGAATTGTACTCACAAAACTATGGAATTTGTGTGTTTCTTCTTAGAGCTGAGGCTATTCAGCATTTTCATCTGTTGTGTGGTTGACAGACTGCAGTGTGTGGTTTACGGAGAATAGCATGATAGAATCACTGAGTCTTACGTTCTAGAACTGGACTCATTTTAAATGAGTCTTGTGCAGCTGGAAGACCTGTCCTAGATAGACTGACGAGCAACTGTCACGTGTTGAGACACATGTGGGGATCACAATTCGGGTTTTTAAACCACACAAACTGTAGTGAACTGTTGAGCAAACAATTTTTTTTTTCCAGACAGGGTTTCTCTGTGTAGCCTTGGCTCTTCTGGAACTCTCTCTGTAGACCAGGCTGGCCTTGAACTCACAGAGATCTGCTTGTCTCTGTCTCCTGAGTGCTGGGATTAAAGGTGTGCGCCACCACCATCCAGCTGAGCAAACATTTTTAAATGTAGACATCACCGTCCAGGATGAACTGAATGCCCGTCAGTCAGCAAAGCAGTTCTGCTAAGACGCGGCACTTCAGAGCTGACATTAGGACAGTGGAAGTGGAAACACAGAGGAGACAAAGGGTCTCCATGCCGCGTGTGCTCTCTTCCACCGCAAGCTTCAGAGCTGGGAGGAAGTGGTCTTCAGAGGGCATTTGGCCCCCGAATTTCTGTACCTAAGAGCCTGCTACAGCGACTGGAAGTAATAACACTCGAGCTGCCCTAACACACATTCTTAAAACTGGGATTGGCTTAAACCGGGCGGCGATATCGAACGCCTTTGATCCCAGCACTCAGAAGGCAGAGGCAGGGAGATCTCTGTGAGTTCGAGGCCAGCCTGGTCTAGAGAGCGAGCGCCAAGACAGGTACCAAAGCAACACAGAGAAACCCTGTCTCGAAAAACCAAAACAAAGAAAAAAAAAAAAAAAGCTGGGATTGGTTTAAATCAACACACCCAGTACTTTATAAAACATTTTTATATATGCTTGGCTGTGGTGGCACACATATTTAATCCCAGCATTGAGGTGGCAAAAAGAGGTAGTTATCTATGCGTTCAAGTCCAGCCTAGTCTACATAGCAAGTTCCAGGCCAGCCAATGCTACAAGGTGAGAACTTGTCTCAAAAAAAGAAAAA